GGGGGGGGGGTCGGTGCGCCGGTGCCGCGTTCACTTCCCGCGTCCCCGGAGAAACGCGGGGAAGCCTGGACAGCCCTGCCCCGGGAGCACCGAGCGCGCGGTCAAGTAGCTTTAACGGCGGTCAATCGCAAGACACCTGCCTCTGGAGGCGCCTTGGGTGCCGGTTACCGGCCCGGCCCGGCCCCGCGGGCTGCAGAGATGCCCCCAGAACAGCTTTGCTACGGGCTCGGCCCAGGCGTCCCCCCGCGTGCAGAAGCGGCACGGGGGCGAATGCCGCGAGCCCTCCTTCATAGGCCTTCCTGTCCAGCCTGCGGAAACTGCTACTTCTCAACAAAACATGCCCATGTATTATTACTGACTTTGTGTTGCCACTAGATGGTTAATACAAAAGCATAAAAATTACACAACCCTTCCTCCAAGGTTTTAAACATTCACTTCAAATGACACTTTCTGACTGACAGCTGGGAAGCAGTGGGAGCGGCGATGCCTCCTGCCCCTTGGACTCCTTTAGTTTTGCATCTTATACCTGTTCCTAATGCACCTGAGCAGAGATACTTGAATCAGCATTTTTCCTGTCATCATTAATATTAGAGCTACCAGTGTCACAAAGTATTACACTTTGTGCACCTACTCTGTGCTATCTGGCTATTCCTTTAAAAAAAACCCCCAATCCTTTTTTTAAGAATTCTTGATACCGTGTATCATACAGTACTGGGAAAAAGTGTCAGGAGAGTTGCTAGAGATGCATCTTAAGACTTCCATTTAGTGGCCCAAAGCCTGGTGCAGAAATTGCCCAGTCTAACAAGCTATCTATGTGTTTTTACATACTCTTGCAGCAGTCAGCAGATCAGCCATCTGCAGTAGCAGGCACCTAGATGTCCAGTTTCATTGAGGTATTCTGTTTTGCTTCATGTTTAACCATTTTACATTCCAGTTGTGTGATGTTAAGACAAATTGTTTTCTGTTTATATTTGATTTACAGAAAACAAGAGGTTAAGCTAGTAGTATGAGGCTTACTGTCCTTCTTGTACAGCCCAGGGTAATAGAACAGCTACAGTCATGGCCAGGTTTATTTCTGCATCGTGTATATAAAGTTGTTTCTTCTAAGAAGTGAGAGTGTTGGTTTGAATGCCATAGTAAGTACATTCATACAGGCCTATTAACAAACATGCATTTGGTCCTCGGTTGTCTAGACAAGTCTGCATCAACTAGATTGTTATGCCATACAGTCTGGTTCTGAAATGGAGCTACGTCATTCCCAGTGCACAACAAGCACTGTGCAGCCCTATGCTGGTGAAAGCAGTAGCGTTCTTTAACAACGAACATCTTCTCTGATGTGCAGCTGTGGTTGCACTCCTCTTTTAGGTACTATCATAGAGAAACGTTGACTCAATAGGAGTAATCAATTGCATTAAAGAAATGGTCAGTTTTTATACATGTAAGATTTAATGTGTAACTTGTTTGAAGCTCACTTTAACATTTTCTATAATATGCAGACCCTACAAAAACCTGATTGCTGTGATGCAGTACCTCCCTGCACTCTTCACATACCCGGACACTTTATCTGCCTTTTCAGTGTCTTGTACCCCCAGGCCTCATCGCTCTCTTTTAAAACTTTGCAGCATTACTGTCTAGTACATAACATTCTCAGGAGAAAATATTTTTTTTTTTCTATGCAAAGGTGCTTATGGCTGCATACAGAAGATGTGAAAGATAAGATCAAACAAAGTATTATAAAATTTTACTGATAATAACAACAGTGGAAAGAATTTGCTTCAGGCAGACAGTGATACTGAGCATTGCTGCAGTTACTAACTCCCATCATGCACAAAAACTGCCCATGCAGATTTTCACTGCAGTTTAGCTTAGGTACTTACTTGATGCGTAAAATCTGATAGCTCATCAGAAGCTCAAAGGGATCTATCTTTTCAAGATATCGGTGCATCAGGGCTGTATTGCTGTCCCCAGTAGGGAACAAAAAGCCTGGGTGTCTACTGTTGCACAGAATACTTGGTGATGCACCATGACTTTGCATCCAGGTCTCCTAAAGTGAATAGTCCAGGAGCTTCAAGGAACAAGGTCTTGTAAAAAAAAAAAAAATAAAATCCTGCAGACTTTAATGTAGCACTTACATATTTATGAAAGTCAAATACATCCCTGAACTGTGGTAATGGCTTCAGTTTTTCTATGAAACAGGGATTTGGTGAAATCCAGTTTTGACTTTGAGAGAGCTGTGAGGTGATGTTCATTAAAAACTCAGCTGTGTGCATCTCATTTTAATATACTTTTTGCAAACTTTGTAAGGACTAAACCCAAACAAGGAATAGTTAAAACTGTACTGCATCTTCAAGATTTCTATTTAAAATAGTCTCATATCTTATTTGTAAGTTTAACTGTAGTATAATTTCTGCCTTTTTTGGTTAGATGATCTTGGTTAGGTAACTATCCCAATGTCTACAGACTGTAATTGTTTTTTGTTTCTTAGGGAATACTCTTGAGCTTCATCATGGGAGCTGTAGTAGCTGATGATGGTCCATCTGGTGTTAAAGCCCCTGATGGAGGTTGGGGCTGGGCCGTCCTTTTTGGCTGTTTTATCATCACAGGATTCTCCTATGCCTTTCCAAAGGCAGTTAGTGTCTTCTTTAAAGAACTTATCCGTGAATTTGGCATTGGATATAGTGACACTGCATGGATTTCCTCCATTCTGTTGGCCATGCTTTATGGAACAGGTAGGTAGTTCTCTGTTTCTGAAACAGTATTGCATCATATGATGATGGTTGTAAATCATACAGCCATTTACAGCATGAATTGTGACTGTACATCATTACTTGTGTGCAAGTAAGGCATTCCAAAGAATAACTATTAGTCACATAAAGCCAGAAATTACTTAAGCACATCCAGCTTGCATACAAAATCAAATCTCTGTAACTCATTAGGTACTAAAGATGATGAAAAATTGCATGGCACTCTGAAGATGAAAAAGACTAAATGTTTGACTATAGAGGGAAGAACACTCTTAGAGATTGGCCTGACAAAGTACCGAAAGAATCACAGGATCATTTAGGTTGGAAGAGACCTTTAAGATCGACTCCAACTGTAAACCTAGCACTGCCAAGTCCACCAAATAAGAAATGCAAACTAACGTAAAATCAATTGAAAAAATGGTTTATCTCAGCAAATGTAACTTGCTCTTCTTGCCTAGGTCCACTCTGTAGTGTATGTGTCAATCGCTTTGGCTGTCGCCCTGTCATGCTGGTGGGTGGCCTTTTTGCCTCAATGGGGATGGTGATAGCCTCCTTCTGCACGAGCATTGTTCAGATCTATCTAACTGCAGGTGTGATTACTGGTAAGTAGTGCGCATTGTTGAAAATGAGTTAGCTAATGTCTTAGCTTCAGGTGGAAGTTTTGTGTAACTAACAAATACTTAAATCATCAGGATCATCCAGATGAGCTCTTATAAAGATGGCGTACAAATGTGGAATTAAATTTGTTGTCTTTTTTTTTTTTTTTCTGGTACATTTAATAGCCACTGCTGTAATCAGTGAAGTGTAACCACAGAGGACAAGAATATGATGGAGGTGAAATGCTTTTAAAAATGTTATCTTAGAATTCATCTATTTGGAATATAATTATTTTCTCTTAAGTCATGAATCAGAAAAACTAATTAGAAATCTTTTTAATAGTGTTATTGTAGGCCAGTATTAATTTTTACGTACCTTCTGTTACAGGTTTGGGTCTGGCACTAAACTTTCAGCCTTCACTCATCATGTTAAATCGTTACTTTGACAAACGCCGGCCTCTGGCCAATGGACTATCCGCTGCTGGGAGTCCAGTGTTTCTTTGTGCTCTCTCACCACTGGGGCAGATACTACAACACGAGTATGGTTGGAGAGGAGGATTCCTTATACTGGGTGGGATGCTGCTGAACTGCTGTGTATGTGGGGCATTAATGAGACCTCTGGAGCCATCCAACAAGTCTGAAGATACTAAAGAACCAGCTGAGAAGAAAGTGAAGAAAAAACTTCTGGATTTCAGTGTGTTTAAAGATGGTGGTTTTGTAATCTACACACTAGCAGCATCCATCATGGTGCTTGGGCTCTTTGTTCCCCCAGTTTTTGTTGTGAGTTATGCCAAGGATTTAAAGTATCATGACACCAAAGCAGCTTTCCTTCTAACTATTCTGGGATTCATTGATATCTTTGCTCGGCCTATTTGTGGAATGGTAGCTGGTCTCAAGTGGGTTAGACCACGCTGTGTCTACCTCTTCAGTTTTGCTATGATTTTCAATGGCTTTACAGATCTTATGGGTTCTATGTCTGTTGATTATGGTGGCCTGGTGGTCTTTTGCATTTTCTTTGGCATTTCTTATGGAATGGTAGGTGCTCTTCAGTTTGAAGTTCTCATGGCGATTGTTGGTACTCAGAAGTTTTCCAGTGCTATCGGTTTAGTGCTCCTGGCAGAAGCTATGGCTGTTCTAATTGGTCCACCATCAGCGGGTAAGTATTCTATTTAGTTCAGAATTCAAACTCATTTGCATTGCATCCATTTACACAAATTTTGTGAGGGAACAGAGAAAAAGACAAAATGAGTCACTTGAGAAGTGCACGTTGTGCTAGTGTTGCACATGCTTCACCGACTTTCTGCAGTTACAATCTGAAATAGTCCAAGACAGGGTGGGATGAATGTTTCCCTTCTTGGATCTATTTCGGGATTGTTTGAATTACCATATGGAGATGCTGCTCTTTCTCCACTGAAAGCCTACATTGCACCTCTTATTAGTAGATGGCTAATGTTGTATGAGATTTGTCTTACACATAGTGAATAACTTTCGTGAAGTTCAGACCTCTTTGGAGTATTTGGAGAAAGGAGAAACCTGTCCATTTTCTTTGGAAAGTACTAGGATAGATTCTCTATATCCATGGTAGATTTGGAGGAGGAAAGAAACATCAGAAGGAGAAAAAAAAAATCTCACAAGAACTACAGAACTGGACTGTTTTAAGAAAGGTAGACTGATTCTGTTGCATGTCTCACAACCAAGAATAAGGGCCAGTACAGAATATTCAGATTCATTAATTTGAATTAAAAATTGTAAATTAATTACTAATCAAAGAACATACATTTTACAGACCCTGAACTGAACCACCCCCCAACAGTTCACTGCCATAAAATGTTTACTGTTTATATCAGACAAGAAAAAGCATCCTGAATATTTACTGTGACAGAACCCCTTGTGTAGAAAAGACTACTATGCACTACTTAATCTGACCTTCAGGTTTGGAGAGGCACTTCTTTCACCTCCATTAAGTCCTGTAAAAATTTTAACTTGACTAAAGCATCAGAATCAGTCAGTTACTACAGACTGACTGTTAAGTAAGATTTGCATTTTAAGCAGACAGCGTACACCCTGTGTAGGAAAGGAAATGAGATTGGGAGCGAGAGGAAGCTGATGATGCCGATCCCGGCCATGATGCACCTGTTTTGATCTGAAAGGCATGGCACTTATCTCTTGCACGTGAAGGCTAGGCTGCTTTTATTCCAGTTGAATTGCATGACTCTGTGTGTGCAGGGGAGTATGTGTTTTGGGATGTGATGTCAGTGAATGTTAAACTGAATTGAAATAATTGAGAAGTATTTTGTGATAAACTTGTTAAAATGCTATTTCAAAAAACTTGCTTAGGTAGTCACGGTGCTTCTAGCAGGAGTCATTTAAATGTTTAAAAAAGCAGAAAAAAATTCATTGCAAGATAATCACTTTTGTTAATTACCTGAAATGTTGTCTTCTTCAGGAAAACTCTTGGATGCAACAGGGAGGTACATGTTTGTTTTTATTATTGCTGGAATTGAAGTTACCACCTCAGCACTCGTATTGGCCTTGGGAAATTTCTTCTGCATTAAGAAAAAATCAGAAGAACCACATACAAAAGAAGAAGCAGCAGAAAGAGAGGAATTAAACAAATCTGAAGACAAAACTCCTGAGGATGCCAAGGTGGACTCTATTGAAGTGGAGCAGTTTCTTAAAGATGAGCCTGAAAAAAATGGCGAAGTTGTAACTAACCCAGAAACGTGTGTGTGAGCATGACAGAAAACCAACACAGTGTTTAGGAAAGAAAGATTTTCAACACTATTTATTTTAGAAATAGAGTTAGTTTAGGGCTGGGCCATCTGCTTTATTAACTGGAGGCCAGTCAGCTCATCAGGTCTCTCTGGAAGCTGATTAGCTAGAAAACTTTTTATCGGAAAATTAGCTTTATCAGTAAAAGGTGGAGCATTGTGATTATACTTTTTATGTAAACTAAAAAGCTTTTATAAACACAAGTAGAGTTTTGTTATGCATCACCAGAAGCTGCTCTGTTGGAAGAGATATAGGAAGACTATATTTTAAGAAAAGTGGAATTATTTGTATGTTTTCAGACAATATTGGTGAAATCACTGTGTTGTGCAGCTAAATATAATTTATTTCCCTTTCTGTGATCTTTGTGAAGGGGAAAAGAATTTGAGATGGAGAAAAATCTCAGGAACTTAAAGGTCTCCATTAGGTTTTTGAACTTCTTACCTTTTTTTTAGATTAACTGGCTCAGCTCTAATTTAATTTTGATATTATTTGTTACTTTGTTTTATGTAAATGTTATTTCTGAGTTTTGTCTAAACCTATAATCTTTGTAATTATCCTCTGAAAATACTGTACGTGGCAAGGCACATTACAGATATTGTCCTCAGCAGATCACACAAGTGGTAGTCCGAGGAGGTACTAAAAGAAGAGGAAATGAGCAGAATTGATCCTGACAGGCCGTAAACAAAGTTAGACTACATTTACATACAAGGTTTCCAGCAGTTTCCCTGCAGCACTGAGAAATATTACAAGTAACATGGAGAAGACATATACTAGTTTAGCAGAACCTTGTGAAAAGAGTGTCCATTTTGTATATAAGAGAAACAGTGTAAGTTTCAAATGACCTGTAAAGGGTCTGGAAGGGACTGGACTATTTTGAAACATGTTAGTCATCTTTAAAATGCGATGTTAGCAACACAGGAAGGTCTTTTGATTTTGTTTTTGTGTTTGGTTTTTGATTCTTTTTGTTTTTCTTCATTTAAACCACTCCCCTACCCTTCTGCTTAATCTATGGAAGTTCAAGGTGCCATTTTTGCTGACTGAGGAAACATGATAGAATTGATGATCATATTTATGGCAGCAATGCATAAAGACCCATCAAGAATGGGGTCGGATTTGCTACTCATTGCACAAAGAACAGGGAGTTCTGGCCAGTCTTTTCAATGTCCTCTGACATTGTTATGGGGGTAGGAGAAGAAACAGAAACACCCCAGACAAGGCAGTGACAGAACATTTGAAGAAACGTGGAAAGGGAAAAGATGAATTGTGAGGATGCTGAATAGTAAAGGAAGGTAAAGTAAAAGAAAGGCATTTTTTTTCCCCACCCAAACACACTCAAGAAATGTAATCTTTTATATAAATGATGGTCCTGCAACCCACCTTTCCAATACATTTATAAAAAGCTAAGCTTTGTGACTGCCATAACAATCTTCAAAACAGACTAACTGTAACAGATTCAGTTTTGTTGGCAACAAAGGAATACTGGCTTTCAGGTGCCAAAATTATTCCACTTAATAACTGAAAACTAAAAGACCCATATCCATTAAAACCCTGTATCCCTTTTAAAAATAACATAATTAGCTATTTATACTCGACCATTTTAACAGGAACGTACAGTAAATCCAACAAAGTGCCAAACCCATGAACCATTCTCTAATGGAACTATTTCTGATACCAGCTTCCATTCTGGTAGTTTCGTCAAAATGGTTTTGCACTGTTATGACAACTTTGAACAGAAATTTAAAAGATAGGATCATGATTTTTTTTTTTTTTGAGTGATTTTAAAAAGAAATAGATGCTGCACTGAATAAACTGTTTAATAACTTTTTATTAATTTAGTAGCAGGAATTGCACTGGCATGACCTAGTTATAAGAGCTTAGTAACGGAACTTAGCTCCGGTTTGCTAAAGTCTAAATCAGTACTTGGAACACAACACTGCTAGCTCCAGAAGGTCACCTTAGAAAAGGACAAGAGGAAAATGGAATCCACAGATCAGTTTATGGTGTCCCCAGAAGCTGCTTCAGAAGATACATGAAAGCCTGATAGAGCTTTCAGATTGGAGTTCCCTGTTCTGTTTCAAAAAGGAAAAACTAGAAACCTTCCCAAAGGTAAACTGAGATTCTCAAATAGCCATCTTTGTCTTACTGCTGGTTTTGATCACCAGATTTCTTTGCTAGATAATGCTATACTGTTATCACAAAACTAAATGGTTATTCCTTTGACCTCAGGTTTTGTCACAATTTTACGTTTCTGTACATTCTGCAAATTATCTCAAAAATTTGGGCTTATCTTACTGACTTTCCAGACTATGTTTCATTTTCCATACATAATGCCTTTATGGTTAAGATGGAAAGAAGAAGTGTTATGTTACAATTTTTATGTGATTGGGACAGAAGAGGGTGTTACTAAGATAAGGAAAACATATTTCAACAAGGCACCTTCTAAAGTAAATCTGGTGTTCACAGGAAGTGCCTCACTGGCCTGTACAAGTTCTTTTCCTTGACTCAAAGATGAACTAGTCTGAATATGACTGCCAGTGATCTTTTGCTCTTTTCAGCACAGACCCACCAATGGATTGCAGTATTTGTGAGAGATGCTTATTGCATGAGAAGTCAAATCACAGGACTCTTTTATCAGCTGTGAGAAATAAGGGTTGGAATTTAATGAGCTAAGCAGTTTCACACAGGCTATAAAATCTTCCACTGTTTTAATTATTTACAAGATGCACCAATGGAGATGAGAAGCTCCTAATTCAGATCTCTCAGCAACATCAAAACTGGCAGGCTTGAGAATACTTATGAGTTCTGGAGCCAGTTAAGCTCCCTGCTTCCATTCTGTTCCATTCAGGGATGATATCCAGGTGTGTGCTAGCCCTCCAGTCCTTTTTTCATTTGGTTGCCTTTATTTCCTTGGAAAGAGATTGATTATACTGATAGGAAGGAAATCTCCACACATGCCAGATCCCTAGCCTGGAGGACTGGGCCAGTATGGTAGGCTGTGCTGAGGCATGTACCCAGTTGCTCCTATGGACATGGCCACAAAACAAAGGCCTTTAAACCGAGCTCTTATTTTATAGGCCTCCCTCTTTCCTACCCCAAGATGTTTAAAAAAAAAAAAAAAAAAAAAAAAAAAAAAAAAGGCAAGCAAGCAGCAAGTCCTTAGGTTCCCAGCATGGTCTTAAAACACCAGCTAAGAGCTGTTACATATGGGAGGGGGATTGTATTGGAACCCTTTCTCTTGGCAAGAGTACCCTGGCTTTGTATTTAACTCTGCCTATTGTAAATTCACAAATAATTGCTTTTAAACTTCTCCAGGTATTTTGGTAAAGTATTTCTTCAGGCTCAACACCACTGCAATCTCCTTAAGAACAGTTTGTGAGATGTGCTCTTTCATGTATTTTGAGGATGTGCACGGTTGGAGTCATGGACCACTGCTAAAGAGATGCTAAGTGCCCAGGGACACAAGTAGAGCAGTTCAATGCAACATTACCTGGATGAACCTTTGCTCAACCTTCATCTGGTTAAAATTTTGTGATTTGAAAAAAAGAAGAGTAAATGGAAGGCAGGTAATTGTACAACTGAATTGCCAAACATCCCAAAGACAACATAATTTGCTCTTGCATCACACACTATTGGAACAAATGTAACTTCTTTAGACACATAGTTCATGAATCTGTGAAGTCCAGGAGGGAAAGAAAAAAAATAAGTCCAAAAATTCCAAGTATAACACTGTAAAACAGCTGAAAGATAGTGTTTATAGATTATTTCTCTGCAAATAACAAACGGTGTTTTAGTGTACAGGGTAGCATAATTAAAAGCTTTTTAGATCTTTGTACATTCTATAAATTGTGTACTATAGGATTTATGGTTAATATATTGTATGTTTGATCATGTAATGGATCTTAGGCCCTTAATTTCTTAATGCAAGGACACAGTGTGTGTATAAATGCCTCTAACACACAGAGAATATATAGAGGTGTATATGTGTGTACATATATATATTTGAATATATATGTATCAATCTATATCAAACATGCAAAATACCCAGTAGAATAGATGGTTTGCCTGTTTACTAGACAATGAGCAATGCAGAGTTAAAACTATTTTTTTTCCTCCTCTTATAAAAAGATCAGTCTGTTTTTTTAAATTTAAATGTAATTTTAAAATTTCAGAATAAAATGTCTTGTAGCTGTTTGGAGCCTAGCTCTCAGCAGAACTAAAAATCTTAAAGTGATGCAGCGATCTGTTTAAAGTCACAATCTCTAGATTTTATTTTTCTCCAGTCTTTAAATACACTACAGCAAGCCTTCAGCAGTACCTGCTGCTAAAGTAGCTAGTTCCCTTAAGGTGAGACTTGAGACGTAAGGAAGGTGTGAAGGACTGGACAGATCTTGTGCTTGTTAATATTAAATCCTATCCAAACAAACATGTTAAACAATGTAAAATCATTCTCTAAAAAATAAATTCAAACATTCCCCTAACCAAGCAAACTTCAAAATACACTCATGCATGAATCTTCATTATGCCCCAAAGAAAAGCTTCAGTTTGGTAAGCAATCATAGCTAGAGGGCTTTCAGAACACAAACTTACATGTTGCAGCTTAAGTACTGACTTCTGTATGTGTCTGTAGACCGACATAATCTCTACCACACTTGTCTTCAAGATTATGGGAGTACAATTCTGTTTTGTGCAAGTGGGGTGACTTTTTGTTTCCTGTTATGCACTTTAATGTTATGTGTACAGTTAGATTTTTTTTTTAATGCTTTTCTAGTAAACTGTTGCAAATGTAGTGAATAAATATTTATTTGGTTGTCAAAAACTGTGGGTGTGAAAAAATAAGCTTAGAAAAAACAGCTTTTAACACCCAGATTTTGAAATTTAGCTTCATTTGCACATGGTCAAATAGCTGTACAGAAGCAGAGTGCTTACAGAGAAGGCGGCAACCAGTGACATCGAGCTGACAGGCAGACAGATTTTAATGTGGGCAATGCGACTGCTTTTGCTATGACTCATAGTTTGGCCAGTTTCAGAATGGAAATGGACTCCTGCTGTAAAGACTATTTTAAAGCATGAGCTATTTTAAAATAATAGCTATTAATTCTGTGATGCTCCCTGTAGAAATTATTGTTCTTGTCCTCTGAAGAGTGCTCCAGGTTTTGTTTGCAGGTAGTTTTATGAATTGCTATGATGTATGTAGTCCTTAGCATTCTGAGTACTGTCCTGCCAGCAAACGATCATCAAGTGATGCTCTTTAGAACTTGAAAGCTCCTAAGAAAACAGAGCATAAGAATGCATACATGGTGAGGTTTTTTGGATCCTATGGTACCCCAGCGAAGACTGTCTCCTCAAGGTATAATCTCAAGGCTATAGGCAAGTGAATCAAAATTACAGTCTCTTCAGTGTAACACGAGCTACGTTTTGCTATCTAGAAGGCTCACATCTATTTATACCCAATTCTATGTATCTCTGCTGAGGAATCTTGGAGAAATATAACTAAGCTCAGCTTCCAAAATTCTCTGTATACTTACAATGGAAAGATCATAGGTCTAGTTTACATAAAAACTCCTGTGTGAATAAACATGTGATCACCTTTTTTTGGGTGAAATTGGTAAGACTTAAGGCGCAATCAAATGCTTTGCTACCCTGTTGGCCAGATTAAGCGATATGCTGCTACAGGAATGAACGACAGAATTTATTAGTGTGCGGTCAGCACATCCTTGTGACAGAAAACCAAAGAGTTTATCATTGCCTCTGGTACTGTGAGTCTCAAAGACAGGAGTTGGGCCATTCGCCGTGGGGGAAAAGAGGCATGACCTGAGTTGCAGAGCTGGCGTCCCCTTCTGCTGGACCTGTTGAAGGAAGGTGATCCACCAATATTTGAAGAGTAAACAACTTTGACCATAGCAGAGGCACTGCATATGAGAAGTAATGGCTTTGGAATACATTCTTTTAGCATCCTTATCAATGCTTCTGGAATAGAGCTCATCTTTGCGCAGGTAGGAAAAAGGCACATCTACTACAAAAGTCAGGGCTCTTGAAAGTATCTTGTTAGTGATACAGCCTGCGAGATCAGCAGACCTGCATTTGTCTGAGAAAGCAGGCAAAGTCAGAAGCAGAGTAAAAAGGTACTTACCTTTAATTATACATTCTTTGTTCCTTGACTGATCTCAATACTTGCTTCATCATCTCAGCAACATTCCAGCTGGTAACTTTCCCCACTATCCCTAGGTGAATGCTTCGGAGCAGTAAGAAAGGAGGATAGCTCTTGCTCTTCTGACTCCTCATCTACTACTGTTTCAGCAGTTTAAAGCCTTTCACCAGAAAACCGATTCCAATGAAGAAGCATATCTAGATTTTAGTATTTACACTTTTTAAGTAGCAAAATATGATTCAGTTTTGCTGAAAAATGAGGCATAAGATCCGGTGGCTGACAACATCGGACAAACTTAAAATTTCTCAGCCGTGAGAGCAGAGAGACATTTGCTGTTTGGGGTCTGCTAAAAAAAAAATCTGCACATAACCTCAAAATACTGTGAATAACTGACATCCTTTCCTTAAGGATTATGGGGAATACAAGCAGCTCTACATTGCCTTTGTGCCTGTAACACTTGCAGCTTTGAACAAAGATGAGGACTGTAATTAAACTAAATGTTCTGTCTACTTGTGAGATCAGGACTAGACAGTTTCTTATGTACCAAATGAATTCCTAATCCGTTCCACATCCCACCCCAAGTATCCTGGACTGGTCACAGCAAACAGTAGACTAGGGCTTAACGCTTTAGAATGATAGACACAATTTCCTCTTTTTCCACATTCCTATTTGTCCATTATGCTTATATTTCTTAGACCAAGATCTTAGCTATGCATTTTGAGTCAAGAATTTTCCCAAAATGATATTAACAAAGAGAACTATCTTAAAAAAAGATGGATTTTTTCGTAGACTGCGTATTTTTGTAGATTGCGTACATACAGATCTCATCTAATTTTCTGTTGTCCCTCTGCAGTATGCAATGGTTTCATCAAAAGAACTGAAGCATACTAGTCTTAATAACATTAAGCAGGAAAAAACCCACCAATATCTGAGGAAAAGTCATAGTGTTACTCCTGTGAAAGTATTTGCTGATAAAAGTTAGGATTTTGTTGTGAAACAGATTCTTAACTGAAGATCAGGCCTCTGATCACTCTCCTGATACAAAACCAATGAACAATACAAACAGTCCATACTCAAATCCAGACATATATATGTAATGCCAGTAACTGTCACCTGAATGAACCAGAGGAAAGTACTGTTTTTAATAATGAAGTACTGCATTCTTTAACAGCAAAACCTTTTTATTATTAACCTGTCCTACCCAGTGAATTTTAGAAGCTACTTTGCTGTAGGATTAAGTTCATGGTTGATTGCAGTTCCTCACAGCTGGATTAAATCTAGATTTCTGATCAGGTAGCTCAGCACTGTTAAAAAAACAGCAGCATTGTTTGTTTTCCCTTAGGATTTTGTATACATGAAATGCTGCTTTTGTAAAGCAAAATTTAAAGAACAAAATACATACCTTTTTATTTCATTCTTTTCTAAAGACAAAATAAATATTCTTGAAATGAACATGTACACTCTAGCCAATGATGTGCTTACAAATCTGTAAATTCTTTGTAAAGATTCTTGTTGGGAAATTTGATTTCTGAAACTGTTGCCTTTGACAGATTTTATGGAGGAGCTGCCACTCAGAGGTCTGGAACGTGGGAAAATGATGACAATAAATGGTTGTGCTCATGATTTTTTTCCCTACTGGAGAATGAAGGATGAGAGGTCTTCAAGTTCCACATGACTTCCTCCAAGGGAGATTTTGAGTACTTTCATGAAGTTGACATGGAATATATGGACTACTTAAATGCTTTTACTTAGTATCTTCTCTTAAAGCATAGGATTTATTGTCAATTATTTTCAAGGTACTTGTACCACAAAGAACTCAGGGACTCTGTAGCCAGCACAATGATGTAAAACAGCAGCAGAGCTGGTATTTTTCACATAAAAGTACAGAGCAACTTCTAAATGAAAACTGTGAGGACAAATTAAATATCCTTTCAACTTTTAAAGGCCTGCTAATAAGAAACACAGAGGATTCTTGAAAGTTTATTTGCCCTCAGGTTATGAATAGACTTTTGACAATCACATACCAAAAGTCAGGACTTTTATTATACAAGGCATTGTGGGCAGAGCTCAGTATTTTGCTTGCTTTTATCCTAGCTCCTGTAACTGATCAAGTCTCAGTAACAATTTTCTTCCCATACTTCCTATCAGTACAATGTATTACTTAGTAAGAGAAAGCATTTGTAAAAAAGACTACTGGAAAAGAAGCAATAGCAAACAAAAACCATTTACCTTTAAACAGACAAAAAGACATGCTTTCTGTGAGCAACACGAGAGCCTTTCTTCCTGTATACCCTAACTGCTGCATTCTGACCAGGACTACCAAAATGCTTTAAGTGAAACTTTTAGTACCATGATAAATGTTTGCAACTGACAGCACTCTTTGTAGGTACAGAAACCCCTTTTTAAAAAAAAAAAATTTAAAAAAAGGAGGAAAGAAAGAAGTTACATCAAGAGTAGGGATTCATTGCAAGTAAGTTACACCAAAGAATAATAGAAGTTATTATGAATGTATTTACACAATTGTTAAAGTACACAAATACAGTGATCATACAAATGAAGTGCTCTGAAATACTGGTTTCCAATACACAGGTTTATACAGACAGTCTATTTTCTGCATGATGGCATTTAACTATTATGAAGGACAAAACTGCCCACAAGTGAGTACAATTCTAGAAGTCTGCAGTCAACTTTTAAGTATAGTACAGCAATCTAATGTGCCAGATACAGAGAGAATAAGAGGCTGCCTCTGTGAGTCCCTCTAACAGTACATTATTAACCACAGATATTTACAAGGAAAGCACAGTGAAGTGTAGAACTGTTCAAATGGTAGTGCACAAGCCTAAAATACTGAAGTTTATAGTAACTGAGGAAATAATTCTCTTATGCAAACTTATCCATGGATCAAACTCTTAAGCTTTTCCACTATACTCTCCCCAAACACAGGTTTTCCCCAGTCAAGATCCAGAGTACACACAAGCAAGTAGCTAATGTTCTGAAAGCATCCAAAGAAGAGCGACTAATACTTAATACGTGGACTTTTGAGAGGGGCAAATCCGAATTTGTAAGCACCAAAACAGTAAAAATTACTCTTCATAAAACTCTGAAGACCAATAGGCCTTTTTTATTTAAAAAAAAAATATCTGTTTTCAAGCAGGCAAGAATTTCTCAAAACAGCTAACTGTTCAAACAAAATCTCTGTATATACTTTTCATTTCCAACATGGAACTTCCCATTATTTCAGTCATACTAGTATAAACAGTACTTCTGATAATGTTCCACGTACTATGAGGACAGCATACCTACTTTTATGAGAGTTTATAGTAACAAACAATATGAAGACTCTCCCACATTCTATAACCAACAGGTGTTAGCAGCACCTGCAACAGTTTTTTGGACAACCTAAGCATGTTGAGTCGTTTGTTCCTAGCTAATGATTCTGGACATACTCAGGTTCAATACAGTTGAGAATTAAATATGGTATGCCCCCGAATTGTAAAAATTCTCACAGCAAGAATTGGTTGGTTTGTTATTTGTTTTTTAAGAATTCCTTTTTTGAGTCTTGGCACGAAACAGAAGGCCTGAATCTATTTATTTATTTTTAAACATGTAGATGCTGAATGAAACATTCAAATTCACTGAAGATTCAGAAGCGATGTGTATTTTCCACTTGCAATACCCTCCAAGCTAACCAGCCTCAGAGTGAAGGCAACAAAATTTGACCAATAAAACTGATGTTTTAAACTATCCATTTACCCAAACTAAGCAGAAAGATAGGACAATCTTTCAAATTCTAAATCCCTCAAATGCCTGTCTTCCACTTTGACCCTCATATTCTTTACAAAGAAAGAAATCCATTATCACCATCTCTACTATACTTAGACTTTCCTGCGGGGTATTTAGCTTTCCTCCTTTATGAAAAAGAACTAGCATTAAAAATTCCTTTTTGTTACATGGAAAGTTAGATGTTAAGTGTGAATGAAGACAGCAAACAGCAATGTAAAATTCTAACAGTTTTAAAAATTTCATGAGAAAACCATCTCAGTCAGAATGGGACCATACAAATAAGTAAACATTTTTAAATAAAGTCAGATGGGTTTGATTCACTTACATGTTCCCTGCCAGACTAATTTTTTTAAACAAGAAATTGTGAGTCATTGTCTGTAGTTTAGGTTTGTTTATATACTACATTTTTAAATCAGACAAAAGCAAAGAGTTCTTTACAGAGAATTAAGCCAATAATTTTAGCAAAATGATACAAAAAACTTTCTTAAACCAAGTAAAAGATTTATAGTTACAGTAGAATAATAAAAAGGGGGTAAAGTCTGCCGCCTGTGGAGGGAAAACTGAAATGGCCATCCGATAACAGGCGGTCAACTCTGTAAACCATTTTTCTTTTCCAGCCCTGTTACCACAGGGTTCTCTTAAGGTCACTGGGTTTCTGGCAAAAGCGTCCTGTAATGGCAGCTGCTGGAGTCTGTCCATGTTCCTCCAAGTGCCTTTTAAGTCACATGGAGAACTCCAATTGTAATGCTTCCGCTCTAGTTTAGGGTATTTTTGCTAGTAAAGCCATTGGTAACATAGGAGATCAGCCATGCATTATCTGCCCTCCATGGCAAAATAATTTTCATCGGTGCACAGCAGACTGGAGAACACTGGTAGTTACCCGAGCAGGAATCTACCAAAGCCAAAAAACAAGACAACATCAGCACATATCCTTCTAGTTAACATACAAGTGGCTCTCAATGTACTTCTAAGTAAATCATTGCCAAAAGTGTGTGAATTTAAAATCCAATGAACTATACAATGTTTTGCACCCACCTGTAGCTACACGAAGTTCCCTGTATTTTCCTCCTTTATTAGAAGTTAACATGGAAAATTCACCTTTCCAGCCAGAGGGGATGTTTTGAAGAAAAGTAAACAGAGCATAAACATGCACAGAAGAAAGAACAAACCAGATGAAAACACTACCAATGTGCAGAAATAGATTCAATGGATAATTAGGTTTGGGGTGGGGGGAAATCCCATTAAGACGTTTAGAAAAAAATGTCATTATTTTCAATGGCTTTTCATGGGACACTGTGTTAAAAGACAATTAATTTCCATAGCTTGACCTATTTACGTAACAGTGTAACATTACTTCAGTAACACTTTCACTGTGAAAGTGAAAAACCACCACACATCACTGCAATTTAATAAGCGAGAAATGTCTAAGTAGCTGAATCAGTATTCTGTATTAATTTGTTGTAAACAGCTACGAATAGTAAGGCATACGGTAAAGGCCAACCAATGAAACCCCGAGCAGACCAGAATCTACATACCTCACACGCACAAGCTTTCCAATGCAAAGCTTTAGGTTTGCCTTTTCAAATTTTTTTTTACAATTTTTAAAATTTTTGACCAAGGATACTTGGTCAAATTGGACTTTAAAGTGTTAAGCTGCCATTTACAGTTGGAAGTCTTTAACGTTCCAAACTGTTTACGAAGCAGCTTGTGCACAGTCAGCCAAGCACACAAAGCGGGAGGAGAAAACAGAAGAGGAATAGCAGGATTCTTCACCAACTAGAGATACAGGATTAGTGCAAGCTTAGGCTTTATAGAGAAAGTGAGGCAGCAGATGGAGTTATACAACAGAATTTATTAAGGAACAGAAAAATCTCACAGCCTTTTTTTAATAAGAAGCAAAGCAAAGAAGCTCCTGAAATACTTAAGAAAGCATCCTTCAGCCATCAAGGTTCAGATTCTAACTGAAACTTGTTATTTCCCTGATGAAACCTGTTATTGCCAAAAGCAGAACAGACTAAAAAGCCAAAAGCTGCACACAGAAAGGCAGAAACTTCTACTGTACTGAACAATGGAAAGAAGTCCTAAAAACCCAAATCCAAGTCTGTCTACCTCCAAGATGCTCATGTTCAAACTGTTCTCATTAGTCTGTGAACATTTTTTCAATATAGATCTGAATATTTTTTAAATGACAACTCACAAGGAATAAAGAATATAAAACAGTGAAAAATGGGCACGGCTGTAGTAGGACATTCCATTCACAAGACAGAGCCTCATTTGAGTAATACAGTCAATTAAGTCTTCATACTAATATTTTGGTTTTACAATTCTGAAGCAGATCTGGTTTTGAACAGATGACACACGGATGCATGAACATCCCTGGAAAGACATGTAATTCTCAAACAGCTAAAATTTAGACTTGGTTATTTTATTTTATTGTTGATGCTTGAACAATTTTAGGGACTTTTAAAGTAATTATTTTTATCAATTCTGCTTGAGAGTCCAAGTGGAACAGCAGCAATAATTCAACTTTTGGAAGGATGTTTACTTTTAAGTTAGAGAAAAAAAAAAAAGCTCCATCAAGCACCTGACCAGAAGGCACAGGTACAACTATGAGATAATGTGAGGAGGAGAAGCAAAGTTGGATGTTTCCAAAGATTTTTTTCCCCATCCCATACAAAGTTTTGGTGTCTAATGAGAAGCACTCACCCAGTGCTGCCTTCCAACGAAAGGAGACGAGCAGCTACTTGCCATGGTGTTCGAAAGGAATGCTATTCTGAGGTAGGGGAAAAGACAGCAATTTGTAACAGTTCCACTGCCCCAATATATAAAGATGTCTAACAAATATTCAACCTAAACTTGTAGTAGCAAATGTATCTTTTGAGGAGCTCTGACTTCAGACTTCTATAAGACATTTCTATCTATTAAGAGATACGTAAAAGGAACAAAGCATTATTCCTCAAAGAAAGCTGACAGGGTCAGAAGAACAACGCAGAGTATGATGCCTATTAAGATGGATATATGGAGAAAGATTTGCTCATGAGGAGATGGAAAATGCAGAGGCATTGGAAGTGTATCACTTTTCCCCCCAGGGAAGCAGCACAACACTTAAGTTGGTCATTGGCAGTGTTGGCTACAGTCTTCTAAGAACTTCTCCTGTCAAAGAGATTTTATCAAATATTTATTTGTGCAGCACTCCAATCTTTTCTTCCAACTATGGAGAGAACCTCTATTACTAGTAGGAATTATGCAGTTTTGACTGATGGGTGCTGAACATGCTACATTTGGGAAGAAGAAAAATTAAACAACTTACTGTATACCATGAGCAGTTGGATCGAACCTTCTGTGAAAGGAAATGAAGGCTACTCACCCATAACTAGACTCTTTGAGATGATCACTGCTTTTGGGATGCAGTCTGTGCAACGTGGATCAACAGAACTGATTCAAAGCAGTGTTTACTGGAATGCTCATGACCTCCTTTACTAACTTTTCTACTATGTTTCTTAAAAGACTGACTATGTAAAGGAGACAGTGAACAATTCACTCATAGAGCTTAACAGCAGAAGGACTTTGTTAACAGCTGGTATGATTTTATGTTCAGCACAGATCACAGCTCTTCACTGCAGAGACCTGTAATTTAGGCTTGCTTTAGACCCAAATACACCACCTAGGAATGATTTCAGTTTTGATGCAAAGGGGGCAGATGATCTACTTCTTTTAGAAGCTGTGTCAGTGGCTAACTGCCTTCACTCAGATCTCTCTTTCGCTTTTCTTTAAATGTGTGTGGTTTTAATTTTAAGCAATAGGTTCTTCACGTTTTTCACATAAATGTCAGTTCCTGTTAAAGCCATTGTCTCTAAAATGCTACAGCAACTAATTCAAGATGATCTCTTACCTTTCAGACAAACTGCATGATGCTCATCTGAAACACTTGCATTGCACAATGTTTCCCTAGGCTCAATTTTTATGGCTCTTCTCTGTTTTCCAACAATTGAAGATATTGAGAACTGAACTGAGCATAATATTCCAGCATCCGTCTCACTAATGACATGAAATAACCTCTCAATTTCTGTTCGTTAGTGCATCATACATAGATTCAAGGATGAAATTATAACATCACACTAACCTCTCCAACATTACACTCAAAGCTTCCTCAGTTGTTGCTTACCACAGATACAGTTCCCACATATATAAGACAATGGGATTCACTCCTTCATCCTAATCAGGTTTTGGGAGTACTGCAGTAATACACATTTTAGTTGAACAGGCTTTACCTGACTGCTCAACTCTCACTAATGTTTATTGCTGTCAAACATCTCACAACTTTCAGGTTTTTAGTTGTTGCATTCACTTCCATATAATCGAGAAAAGTACTGAATAATGTGTCACAGAATTCAAGTAATTTCATTAGAAACACTTAAGCTTCACAAACCATTTTGTAGACACGCTAGTTGTTGTGTTACAAAGTGTTAGTCCTTCGAATGAGAATGATTTAGGTACTATGCAGACAATAGGTGCGGAATACATGTGACATCTATCCTGCTATCCTTATCAATTACCATTTTTCCATGAGTGTTAAATTTTTCTGAGACCTATTTTCCATAAAAGAGTTTTGGTTCATATTACCTACATCCCCAGCCTTAGTTTTCAGTTTCAGACTGAACTGATTAGAACTCATTTTGGAAAAAAGAAAGATTAAAAACACGGAGTCATCTTGTAAGAACTCTACTTAGAGGTAAGTAGCTTTCATTAGTTCTTTGAGTAACCTCTGCACATTTCCACTGCCCAGAATTTAACAAGCAGTAGTCCTTCCTCTAGATGATGAGAGGTGTAAGATTACAGATGCAGGGTTGCCTTGCCAAACCAAAGCATCCAAATAAATTAAAATAACAAACCAAATTTGTTATTTATAACAACTCTAACAAATGTAGTTCTTAACATAAGACATCTGTAGATCTGCATAGCAAACTTTAAAAGCCACTTTCTACCAGGAGTATGGTCTAAACGTTTCCTGAAAAAGGAATACCGATAGCATATTTACTTAAGTCTTAACAAAGGAAACTAACACACTTGGAGTGAACGCGGACAAATCATTGCTGTTCTTTACTGTTCTCCTGATAAGAAGTGGTATGGACTATCTTCTCTATTTTTATACCTAGCCCATCAAAATTCTCCTTAATAACCTTGCCATGCAAGTTGAATACTTTAGGTTTTCCTGACTAAGAACAAGGTGTAAAGATAATGGGAAACACATGGCTTTAATTATTAATCTGGTTAACATCTAAGGATATACTTTGATCATGGAAGAACTACTTTAAAGTTATGAGGATAGTTAAGAGCATAAGCTATGAAAACTTGCAACTTGAGCCACCCTGCCTGCTACCAAGTAAGAGAGAGCTGGGAAAAATGAAAAGCGAATTTTATCTACCAAGCTCAAGGGGAAGAGTTACAAAGTCTAAGTCAATCTCTCTTGCCTTCCAAACCTGAAAGGCCCATGGGAAGCTGTTTAAATTATACTAGTCACACAACGTTACTCAGCCATCATGAGAGTAGAACAGCAGTGGTTCACTGCCTTCATAAGAACTAAATGAAGACAACAGATGATGAATGATTAATTCTAACAAACACAGAGAAGATCCCAACTAGGCTGCTACTGGAATTATAAAGAAGTCACTCGAGTGATCCCACACTTGGAGCAGAGTGTTAAAAAGGGCAGGTATGAAAATGTGTCATTAAGTCAGACTCTACTCTTGGCCCACACCACAAATTATACATCTGGATAGTCAAAGACTACTCAAAAAACCCCACAGTCCTACACAATCTCAGGGTATTCCCATTTTACAATGAGAACTAAAATGTATCTGCAAACCCAACTGGACTACTCATACCTTAAAATGTTTACGAGTGTCACGTGCACACTGAGCTACATAGCAGTAACATGACAAAAAAATGAAAGATATGCTCTACTCTAGCATAGTCAAGTAACATAACTGCACTTATTTCTATTACTCCCATAAATTGTTTATCTGACTGGTAACAGAGACAAGACATCTGAGATTTGCTTGGAATCCCAGAGACAAACCCTGGGCATACACACTGTACCTGGAAAACATCTTTACATTTGAGTAAATGTTCAGGGAGAACTCAGCATCACAGACAACTCTGTACAATGTCCAACTGGGTTCTGAATAATGTGAAAGAGGGAGACTCCACATCCTCTTAGGGCAACCTGTTCCAGTCCTTGCCCACCCTCACAGTAAAAAAGTTTTTTCTTATGTCTAAATGGAATTTCTTAAATTTCAGTTTGTGCCCACTGTCTGTTGTTCATTCACTGGATACTGCTGAGAAGAGTCTGGCTGCACCTTCTTTACACCCTTCTATCCACCCTTCTATCAGGCATTTATGCACACTTACAAGATCTGTAACAATGCACAGTTCTACCCTCTTTGGTTTCATGCTGTTTACAATCTTTAGCCATAAAATATTTCAATGTGAGAAATTCTGGTGGCAATAATTGTAGCTCAGTGAACAATTTAAGCTGCTAAAAACTGCCACCAACAGAGAAAACCTTACCCATCTCCTATTGTCCAGTCATTTCCTGCTCCCAAACTGTTCATTCCTTGCACAAGCATAAACATTTGCAGCTACATGGTGAAATAATTGATTCAAACTGAAAACCAACCCAGAAAATCCCACTTCACTTTTGTTACAGCAGAATTATTTCTCCAAACCAGTTCACCCTCATTCTTCATTAAAAATACCTACCTGGCCTCCACCTAAAAGAGCGTTCTCTTTTAGATTCTAAATATAAAACTACTTACTAGCCAAAATAATTAATTCTGCCAATTAAATGATGAAGCCAAAAGGAACAGAGATAATTTTTATCAATAACATGCTTTGTCAGTGAGGAATAAAATGGGTCCATGGCAAAAATCATGTAGTTAGAACTCCAAGACAGTGTTGAGGCGTGATGGAAAAACCCCTAGGCATCTGCACCAGTCCTAACAGACTACTCTCCGTGTAGTGTTGCAGTACGCCTGCAGTACAGGTGATTCCCCATTCTCTGGGTGAGACTCAAGTTAAGCTGTACAAAGCCAGGCCACACACTACTCGGAACAAGTCTGTGTGAATACCCTGAAAAAGGAATGTTTCAGCTATAGCATAAACAGTTAAAAATATATTTAAACATTGTTTGTCAGTCTTAAAAAGACGCATTCCTAAAATATCTTTGCTAAGTCACGGTGACCAACGAGGATGATTTCAGTGTTGACTATGGCTATGAATCACTCTATCATTCAACCTCCTGCCATCCTCTTCAGACGAGCCTTCTGCAACCTATCCATTATCCACACATGTGGCTTCTTATTTGCTCTGAATTACAGCACTGCACTATAACATGTCCTCACTTTCGCACTTTTCTGTTCTTCACCAAGTACTTCTTGTTTATTCTGCACCAATAATCTCTGCTCCACTGATCTGGAAACATAAGTCACAACTGCCTCTAACTTACTCTGCTTCCTCACCGAAAACAGATGATTTTGCATCATCTCATACACAAATGACTGTATCACTTTGAGCATTTTATGCTTATTGCTGCCAAGGTAAAAAAAAAAAAATAATTCTTTTTTTCTTTACAGTAGTCTACAGCCTCATCACAAACATTCAGTTAAAATGTCAAGTATTTATGTGTTATCATCTGTAAAAATCATCAACTAGCTGGTATGCTCTTTCGGCAATTTAGCTTTATCAAATCACCCTCATTTTTCCATTACAAGAAATCTTTTTTTACCTGAGAAGTTGACATGCGAGAGGTATCTTGTCGGCCTGTTAAGTCAGATGATGAGATATTGACTGGGGCACCACGATGCAATCTCATACTCACTTTCCTTTCTCGTTCCATACCAGACACTGGCCGAGGAGAGGTGTTGGCTATAGAAAAAACACATTAGAGTCTCATAATGAGAAATGGGATTACAACATGGTCATTGGAAAAATCAGACCCTCACTGTTTGCATATAAAACTTCCAGAGAGTCAACAAGAGAAATCAAGGTCTATGTTTTACATTCACAGAAATTTAAGTAGCAGTTGGCAGGGAGTAAGTGTATACAATTACCCATAATCTACTGAAAAGCAAGCGGGGGGGAAAAAACCCCAAATAAAACCCCCAGACCCTGTCCAGAGACATATATCACTCAGGCATCCTAATTCTAATTTTGAATTTCCAATGACCAGGAACAAACTCCAAATGAGTCTACAATATGCATCTATCCAGGTATTTTCTAACTTACCAGCATGTGAAGTTGGGGTAAGAGGAGTAGGAGAAGCTACATCTTGCGTCCCTCTCAGCCTGCCAGAAGCAGTGGAGGGTAATCCACGCACAGCTGGATTTCGTGTATGTCGCAATCTTTCCTCTCGTTCTCGCCTTTCACGTTCAGCATCTTCAGCTGCTCTGCTTGCGCCCTATGGGTCAAGACTAGTGAACAACCTGGGGGATTATTGAGCTTACAACTATAGATTCAGATAAAAATACTGAAAATAAAGAACTGGATAACCCGTGAACTGAAGCTTAATAGAGCATTAATTATTTTGGTAAAATTTCTTGAGAACTGCCATAAATTTCATTCATACAGCTGCTGAGATAGTCTTCAAGATGCTAAATGTATACAAATACTGTTATGGCAGCTGGACACCTCCTCAACAGTTGCAAATGACCTGTGCTGAAGATCAAGATGGGAGAAGATAATAATTTCACAACCTAGCCTGGTGACTGCCCTGAAGGAAGTATCTCAGAAGCCTTACACATTTAAAACCCTGTAATTTCAACTTAGTTGTCTTTCAACCCCCATCTCATGGCTCTTGGATCTCCTGCCTCTCCTCATTTCCTGATCCTTCTTTCTAGACAATAAAGCTTCCAGGAGGAAAAAGGTAAGACAATCTTACTGTATCAGTTAAGATACTCAAAACTGACAATGGAGTATTAAGAAAAAAAAAAAAAAAGTTTTAGAAAGCTATGTCAGCTACTCACAAATTTCAGCATGTTCCAGTCAAACACATAGTCATAGGAGAACCCTTGTCGGTGGAAGAGGTTCCTAAATAATTGTCTTAGATAGGAATAGTCTGGTTTGTCATCAAAACGCAAAGAACGGCAGAAATTCAAGTATGTGGCAAATTCAGCTGTAATAAAAGAAAGCCCGTTTTTTCCTTCAGCTTCACATTTGCTTTTCTTAATTCTGAATCACAAAGAAAATAACCAACCACCCCAAGCTCAACAGGGAATCTCCTAAGCCTAAGAAAAAGAATAATGACCTAATACTAGAAATCTACTGAAGACAACACTACAGCCCATCTATCAAGTCAACCCTGAAAAGGAAATTATTTGTCTATCATAGGGAAGGCAAAGATCTCATCTGTCAACAGCAGAGAGAACCCAATATTAGTGTGCTTTACTGAACAGCTGGGGGAGGAGGGAGGGGAGGACAGGTTTAAAACAACAGTTGAGCAAAGAAGAGATTTCTTTTGGCCTTTCTTTGTTTTGAATATATTTAAACGCAATTTCTTGCAGTACATGGAATAGCATCTATTCGTTGTTAAGTCACATAAAGATTCACATCTGCTACCACACAAAACATGCAAAAAATAGGAGATCCATATTAATTTCCTATGCAAGTCATGCTACAATTTTAGATTTGCAATAGTCTGAACACCTGTTTTTATATGGCACATGAAATATTAGTTAAACAGCAAAAAAAAAAGACCATTGTTTTAAATTCAGTGTGCCAGAGATAACAGCAGTATCAAAATACCAACTTTTGAGTTCAAATCTTTCTGGCTGAGATAATGTATTAATAATTTACATTAAGAAAGAAATTCTAACAAACACCACAAGAAAAGTTGATTAGCCTTCCCTGCCTTAACCCCAGAGAAAAAAAAAATTAGTTAGTGAATGTAAAGGAACACATGGGAAGCAGCATTTGAAACAGATCGAAGCCAATAAACTTTCATACAACTCTAACAAAAACTATAGTTCTCATTACCATACCTAGCTGCTGAAGCCAAGAGTGTGGAAAAAACAGAGACAGAATTCTTCATGAAAGATCAACAGTATTCTCTGGTGGTAGCTAATGTCAGCAAGTTTTAAAACAGATTTAGGTATCATTCTGCAGGGCTCAAAAATGCCTAGTTATTGCTGTGGTATAAATACCAAATTGAGAACGAGAACAGCTTTGAGACATAACACTAGGGTATAGGAGGGTTTCCTATGCCTCTCACAAATGCTGATCATCAGCGGGCCAAACTGACGAACCTGGAATGATAATTCCCAAGTGAATTGCAGTGAGTAAGAGGTGCATCTGACTATACAATCTGGATTCATCCAAGAAATAGTACCCACACATATGAAGAAATGGGTAGTTTCTCAAAAAACTATTTGCCTGTTAGAATTATCCAGCCGGCACAGACACATACACACAAAATACAGCACAAATAAATCAGATGTACCAAGCTACCCTTCGACTTGAGGGCACCCCAACAATTGTTTACTAATAGTTAAGACAAGGGATAATTAGAAATGGTCTACAAACACAGAGATTGCATTCTTGAAAGCACAGTACCTTTATCACAGATGTGCCCAATCATGTTGGGGGATGGGGGGAAAAGGAAACAAAAAAAAAAAAAAAAAAAAAAAAGGAAAAAGACTGGTAGAACTCAGTGTAAAGAAAAAAGAAATACCACTGAAACGTGAACACACAGGCCTAGTGCCACAAAAGAGTAACTTACAAGGATATCCTTTACACAAAACCTCAATGGGTGTAGACATTTTCTTTTCACTGATACGTTCATATTTCTGCCTCTTTGTTGCTGCTTTCAGTCCCTGCCAGGGGAGGGAGCCCAGGTTAAAATACATCAGAACATAGCCCAAGGACTCCAAGTCATCTCTGCGAGATTGCTCTACAACAGCATAAAAAAGTGGACTCATTAGGTTTCATTTTGTACTGGGAAAACAAAAGACTGTGCAACAAGACTGTCATAAAAACCCTTAGAAAAACAAGAGACAGCTGAGACTTACTGTGCCTATGATAAACTAATCCAGTACAATAAAAAGTCTATCACCCTTGCAGTTATTAAAATAAATGTGCTAATTCCTGAGAATTGCAAACTAACCAAATCCCACCCAAACAAGAGATACAAGGCCAAGCACGCTGCCAGAAATAGGGACTGTCTTCCATGCCTCCCTAAAGCAACATCTACTTGCACTAAAATTATATGCATTGACACTTTTACAATTTCTATTTATTGCTTTCCCCAGCTCACCAATTCCAAGATGAGTGTTGATGGATGCATAACGAGCAGTTCCTGTTAAGTTTTTATTTTCACGATATGGAATATGTTGGTGAGTTCGAGCATCTCGATACTTCTTCGCTAATCCAAAGTCTATTATGTAGACAAGATTGCCTTTCTTCCCCAGACCCATTAAGAAATTATCCGGCTTCACATCTCGGTGGATGAAGTTCTTAGAGTGAATATACTCAATTCGACTAATCTAAATAAAGAGAGAGAAAAGAAAAAAAAAACCAACACCATCATCAAGAAACTGGGCATACACTTTTTTTCCATATAAAAACACTAGCAACCCTGTCTTAATGATAAAAGAGGTAAAGAAACTTTAAATTCTAAAATATGAGGGCATAAAGAGAACATAATTTAGATGACAATAGATAAAAACCTTCTCTCCAGCTCTTTCTCTGTGTCTATTTTATATTTGTTTCCAAAATCTTCCTTGGGGGAATTTCTTCATCTTTGAGCAGTGCAACACCTGGTTTGCAAATAGCACAGGTTCAATTTTTAAAAATCAAATTAAGACTCTAATTACTTTTGATGGGACAGTTGGTATTTACAGAAACAGACTTATTTCGAGTCATTTCTCTAATGATACAGCCTATTCACCTCTAAATTACAGAAATAAAATAGTGATGATCTCTCAAGAAATTTCAATATCCCAACACACTGCACTATCAAGATCAACAAAGCAGTTTCCTACCATTTGGTCAGCAAGTAATAGGACTGTCTTGAGACTAAATTTCCTTGAACAAAAATTGAAGAGATCTTCAAGACTCGGTCCCAACAGCTCCATCACCATTACATTGTAGTCTCCTTCAGCTCCACACCACTTTATTGTGGGAATACCCACTAGAAAGGAGGAAACAAGTTTATTCAGTATAACAATTTGATTTATACAGTTCATACACACACACAAAATATAAAGGCTCTTAAGATTAATTCTAGGAGGGTCATTATTGTGAATGTTTGTATTCACAGTGAAGCTTAGTATTTTATGTTAGCTTCAGCCATTCCAATGTTAGAAGTTTGGTAATTTCACAGCAGAACCAATATAAAATTATGGCAACAGAGTTCTGAAAATAGCCTTTTTTTTCTCTTCCCCAGAAACACCCCAGTCTTTGTGCTTTGCTTGTAACTTCAAAAGTATTTTAAGCTTTTTGCTGGATTTGAACCTTAAGTATTTTACAAGTATTAATACTCATATAGTTTCCAAGATGGCAATAAGGAGCAAAATGGAAATTTGAAAACACACTGACAAACCATTAATATTACTGCTGAAGGTCTTACAAATTAACTTCTTAGTTTCAAAGCCTACAAGATCACTATAAAATACATATCTCTTCCATTTAAATTTGTAATGAACTTTCACCCTTGCTTCATACTCATCTTTTTCTCTAGTTTCACTGCATTTGCTGTTGGATGAATCTCTACCAAAGGAGCATGGTTTATGAGAAGTGTTATACATTCATCTTGAGAGAACCAAAATCAGCCCTGCTTTATTGAGAAACTCAGGAAAGTTATTTCACACTGAACTGCAGAATTGCTCAAATGTTTTGAGTTAAACCTGCACATAGGTAGCCTTATTCAGAATGCCAAATGCCATTATTCTGAGCTAATTTTGTGCATTTTGGAAGTGAAATTATGTAATTCACTGATTTCAAACTTTTGCCTTCACTTGATATGCATTATTTTTTCCTGAATTCCCTTCACAGAGAAACCCTTATTCAGATGGAAGCTTAACCTTCTACCACCTGCTTCCACAGCAATCATCCTCAGAAAGAACCCACCATCATGGCCTTAGTAAGCCCATAAGGGAAGCATTTTCCTCTATGAAAGCTACTCTGGTTACACACAAACAGCAACTGAATGAGGCAAGGATATAAAAGTAACTAAATGCAAATACACATTATCACCTGTTTCCAGATGTATGATTACTGTATTTTGCATTAGAGGTACAGTGTGGAATGTAGTCTTTATGCAAAGTACAGCCTAATTGAGGAAGAATTAAAGGTACTGTGAAACAAAAGCAAAACTTAACCATACCGAGTTTATATCCCAGAACTGCATGGGAATCTTACATTTGCAGAATTCCAAAATCTATGAGTTACCATATCAGAGTACCACACAGTAGCTACAAAGTTGCTTCACTCCTGTTCTCTACTACTAACATCATTTTGTCCTAGAATTCCCAGTGCAAGGAAATAATTTTAACTTAGAAGAAAGAATACTAACATACTTAAAAATTAACCTGAGTTTACTAAGTTCAGAATTGTGCTACTATAATAAGCAAGTCAGGTTAAACAGTGGTTATCATCTTTCATTGACCTGTGAGAAACAAAAGTCAATCAGTGTACTGCCAGATGGGACCAAACTTTGTTCCACATTGCTCAAGGTTTTCACATTTTAATATCATGGAACTGTGAGCAACATTGGAGGATCTTAATGGTTACCATGAAGTTCGGTAGTCACGCACTTGGAACTGCTACTCTACATAGCTCACAAAAGAGCTGAGGTACCTCTTTACCGACCCTGTCATCTTTCTCACCTTCTCCTTTTATGTCAAAGGAGATCTTAACCATTAAATACTTTCAGGTGGCAGATACATCAAAGACATAAAACCAGTTAAATCACTGAAGAAGGAAAATAATTTGCTTGCCTCCACCCTGCATCATTTTGTAGATTTTACTCTCGATGTGGAGCTGAGGATGTTTGGTTTTCACACATTCCAACTTAATTGCAACCTCCTCTCCAGCAGCAATATCAGTTCCTAAAACCAGAAGAATTTAAAACACTGGTCAAAATATTTTTTAAGATGCATTTTCTTTGTCAAGACTGAAACAAAACAAATATCGACAAACTACTTCTCAATGGTAAACATACAGAGATTATTGAGTACTTTCATCCACAACTACCTAAAAACTCTTCTGAAGCCTTACCAATTCTCTACAACAGACTAGCAGTTTAAGAGACAACTATTAGACACTGTAGCACAGAAAGTCAAAACTTCTGCTATTCCATTCCAAAAAACCCTAGCAACTGCATCTTCTAAGGGGTATCTTTCCACTTCCAGTTTGTGGAGAAAGTGCTCAGAATGGATGTTTACGGGTGTGGCATGTATCCCTACCAACCTAAGAAATGCTAGGAATTTAGATCACCTCCTATTATGCCTTGGAAACAGAGACTACAACCTCCCTAAGCATCAACATACTCCAGATGTATTCTGACACCTTATGATTTTATCTGACTGGGAGGCAGGTTATCTAGAATCAATAATCTGTTCTCTCAAAAACTTTTTAAAAAAAATCTCATTAAATTCTTGTTTCAGGAATCAAATGACTGGAAAACTGGCTTACCTGTTCACTTCCAAACTTTCAACGTATGTAGGGAAAAACTGTCATTCTTAAAAAGAAAGAGTCAAGAAAATATGCACTCTCACAGCCAAGCAACTTAGGAACTACAGGGAAACAGGAATTGGCAAAAGGTGACACTTTTTAGACATATCACTGAGTCTTTCCACTTGCAGAATTTGGCTTTCCCTTTTCTGCATGACCTCACGATTTAGGATCACATGAAGTACATCACCAAGTGTTTGCTCTGATCCCCCAGTCATTTAAACTGAGAACTGCGTTTTGTTTGGAAAGAAACAGTAAACAGAAAGGGAGCTGCTACTCCCTTTCTCCATGATATTCAGGATTTCATAGACTTCTACCCTACCTTGCTTTCCCTTAACTCTTCCAGAGTTCAAAACCTCTTGTCATTATTTGTATAGAAGTATGTATAGACATGCACAATTATAATTTTTTCTGCTTACCTGTTTTTTCCATTTGTTTTTCTTCTACCACTACACAGTAGTGAGCTAATGTATTCACCTATTATAACTGCAAAACCTTGTTCCTGAGATTAAGGAGCTACTTCAGTGCTTCACAGCCTTTTGTCTATAAAGTCAGACTAACCAAGGCTACAAAGACAGGCTAACACCCCACACCTCAAAATGGTCATAACTTCACAAGAAAGCCATGGTGCATGGAATTATCTGAGTTCACACAAGACTGTTTTAATTTTTATTAAGTTAATAAAATCTCTTTTTGTGTGCAAGCACATGAATATTAAGGCAGTGTTGCTGGGACAGTGAGTTGTTCTAAGTGAACACAAATGTTGATATTTATTAGGCATTTCACAATGCACTTTAAGAAAACAAATCACTTGAAGCTCACTCTAGGTACAATAAGCATACATCAACATTAACAACTGGAAGACACAAAGAAAAATAAGGCTCATATGACTCCTTTTTAACTGGTGTAATAGGTGGCAAGATCTCCGATGGCTACTTTGGCCATCATGCAGTAGCAGCAATGGGAAACTTCAATTGGTAATCTAATGTTTTCACCATTTATTAATATATTGTTTTGGTGGACTTTAAATGAGTTACAGTGCACATCAATCCAGAAATGTGAAAGGACAGATCAACAATACAACAAGGAAGGCATTATCTTCTGATCTAATACTGACCTTCCCAACCCAAATAAAAAACTTGATTTTAAACTACAGAACTTGTGACCTTTCTTGCTTATTCCTAAATTCACTACCTGCTCTCCCCAATCCTGCAGCAGTCAAGATCAGGAAAGTGTGGATCGAAGACAGCATCTCATCAGCAATAGATGCAGCTGTTTTGGGGTTTTAATTTGCTTGGTTTTGGGTTTTTCTCTTCAACATTTCCTATCCAAAACAGACACAAATTGCTGCCTGAGTATGATAAAAGACACATCTCTTTACAGACAGCTGCAGATTTCTCTGTTTGATTAGGGCAAAAACTGCACAGGAGGACTAAGATTTGTATTACTGTTATCAGACTCTGCTCAATACAGTATTAAACCACTACTTGATCATGGTCTCGACCTAGTAGGTAATTTCTTAGGAAAGTTGCTCCTCCCAAGAAGTCTTTATCACCTAAGATAGCCAAGATCCTTAGCTGAACTCTGCTTCTGCATAAACCCTCTCCTTCAAGACAGGTGATTTCATATTTAAACAATGAATTTAAAATATCTGAGTTCAGCAAAACCAATGGTGAAAAATAGAAATAATTCTTCCAAGCAATTCAGTGCTCGACCCCAAGTAGGGGCTTTTGTTCCCACTTAAACTCTGGGACAAAATTTCTAAAATAATTCTGCAACCTCCATAAGCTTAGCTTCCTTTAAGGAAAACATATTTGAGAAGTAGTGAGAAGCAGTATTATGAGAAGAACCAACAATTAAAAAGTACTAACAAGGAGTATAAGGAGAAATCACAATTTGTAAGTGAAAAAAGAGTCTAGATGTGAAAGTATTTTCTTTTAAATGGCAAAATTCCCAATTACTTGGAATTGCAAAATCCTCTACCATAAGGAAAGCCTTGGAAATTATTTTAACTCATTTACAACCCAAGACTCATTCTTAAGAAATATATATATACATTAATGCAAAAATCATGAAAACATAGTGACTGCAATGCCTTCATGACTCATATTTATTTGACCTCATGGATGGAGCAACAAAACAAGCGCTTGCTCTGACTCCTCCCCACCCCTCCTGGTCCATTGTCTGTATTTTATACTATTCAGCATATCTGGGAATCCATGCCTTTCATATCTTCCTCTGGAGGATAACTTTAAAAGATGCAGCTTCACTAAATTCCTACATTTTATTTTATGTTGTCTGCACTCCTTCATTTACAAGTGCCTTACGCTTCAAAATCCTGTCCGACAGACCATGCCATTCTAAGCAAACAAAGCTGGGGACATTCCAAATTCCAGAAGACATATTTTGACGTATGAGGAAAAACAGGAAAGAATATGAAAGAACTATGATAATAACAACAGAGTCATTGGCTCCATATTCCAAAGAACTGATTAAAAGAAAGAAGGTCCCTCCCCTCTACTCTGGAACGTCTTCAACACCCTTATAGCCACATTAAAAAAATATAAGGGGACTGGAAATGGGCAAAAATGACCAAATCTTCCTTTTCAAAGTGTAAAACCAAGCTGGAAATCTACATTGAGATAATCTACAAACTCACTAACAGCTATCAAAAGGCATGTGTACTTAAAAAAAATAATAATTCATGGCTTCCAAAAGAATTTCAGAAGCTATTTTAAGGCACTTTTATTCTACTGTGCAGTCTGAACAACCAAATAGAAACTTGTTTTTAAAAAGCCCAAACCACCACATATCATGATCACAAAAAAGCATGGATCTCTGTTTTATGTGATAGGTAAACCAAATGGAGGTCTACAAAAGGCTTCAGTTCGTGAAAGACAGTAATTTCCCCTGGAAAGAGGGAACCCATGACATTAGCTGGATCTTCCAGGCATCTAATTCTCTGCTAGTTACTGGCTCTGGCAAGACATTCACAGCAAGCCCTAAAAGGAAATCCATGATGGCCTCTTAAGAGATAAAAAGAATAGGTCAAAACTGAGGATTTCTTTTGCAAAATGCAGCACGGCAGCAGTACAAAGAACAATTTCCGTGCAACTTTACAGGTGTGAGCTGTACAGATAAAGATAAAAGTGACAAAAAAAATGTTTATTTTACTTGCACTTTAAATTTATACTATATAGACAATATGAACCGATATACCTGAGCAGTAGTCAAATGCTAAAGTAGATGTTTCTCAATTCATCTAAGATTTTTCAGATTTTAACTGCTGTCTTAATCTCCACACCAAAATCCCAATGGTAGTAGCTAATGAGGACTTTGGCACAGGCATTACCACCATCTTTCTCACAATAGTCTTCAATCTTTTACGCAAGCATTACAGGGAAAGAATAATCTTCTCTGCTTTTAGGCAACCACATGCCTTCAGCTATAAAACCGAATTTTTCATAAAGCATATGATCTCTATTACGGATAACCCGTATTTCATTATCTGTGAACAAGCAGCTTTAGCTAACATTATTTTGGAATGCCAGCTGTGTGCTGCAACATGAAGCACTGCTGCCTAGGATGAAAAAACACCACTCACACTGCGTACGCTGGCGAACATACCACGTATGTTACCCAGTGACGCTGTTTTTACCATCCAGGCATATGCAGTTAACATACCTTAGCTCCTGCAAGTTCCACCTCCCCCTGCTTTTTGACTTCCTTTTCTAAGTTACCACACTTTCGAAATCCAAGATACCCGTTTCTATACGGCAGGATACAAAATTTATATTTCTCTCGATTTAACCCACTTCTTATGGTTTGAGAGTCTGGAGAATGTAGTGATATTTTAAAAATACTTGCTTTCAAACCTTGTACCCACCACTGCTTGTCAATTAGAAGCACTGAGCCATTATGATAGAGCTACATAAACGGACAGGCAAAGATAATGTTAATCCTGCAAATTTTACAGTTGTGTAGAAATCACAGTAGCAGAATAAGATACATGCATTAAGATGTTAGGGCAACATTCAAGCAACAGGACGGCCAAACTATAATGATTTTTTGAAAGATTTTAGGGGCTTTTTCAACTGCAAACTAGTCATTCGTAGTTGTGTAATTTCTTTAGGCCTCGCAGGAGAAACAAACATCCTTGTGACAGCAATTTTTTCTAGTCCACTGCAGTGCCATCTAACCCCGAGACACCTCTCTTTGAAAAAACATTTTTCTGAACGTGGTGGGTTCTGTTGGGTGGTTCCCTCCCCAAAAATAAGGGGATTTACATCCCTATCTCCATTTTACAGATGAGAAGATTAACGGTGCCCAAGGTCACAAGACAACAATGGGAAGAAGCAGCTAAACAAGCCAGAATTCCCGATTTCTACAATGTAGAAATTAGGACATGATGCCAGCGAAATACTAAATTGCTGCTGCTGTGCCCTGAGCAAGGTGCTTTATTCTAAAGGGCATTTTTTGGACAGGAGCGCTGCCTGAGCTCCAGCCGGGGTAAAATGAGGTCCCGGGGGTTACGCCAGCCCAACGGCGCCGGGGGCTGGGAGCGGGCACGGCAACGAGGCAGCGCCCACCCCAGCCCGACCGGGATGTTCCCCACAGAGCCCCAGACCCGCCGGGAACGTACCCAGCGACCCACCCTCCTTACCCAGGTAGATGTCCCCGAAGGAGCCGCTCCCGATCTTCCGGCCCAGCCGGTACCGGTTCCCAACTCTCAGCTCCATGGCGGCAGCTCGGTTCGTCCGCGACCCGGTTCCGCCGCTCTACCCCACCCTGCCAGCTCGCGCTCTGCCGCCTCACAGTCCTGCGCTTCCTGACGCCATCGCGGCTTTGGTCCGCCGCTCGATACTAGCGAGACCGGCAGCACCGTCGCCG